CTATCTTATTATTATGTAGGGTGTTAAAGGTTGTCAGCAGAGTGGTAAGCGATGTGTCACTTAACCAACCAACTTGCTAATAATATTCTGGTCAACAGGAACTTGGACTCATGTGAAAAATGGGCTAGGCTAAATCCATTCTATCTATCTATCTAACTCACACCACCACACTCTTCATTCACAACTCTCCCGTTGTATCTCATCAGGGAGGACCAGAAGCGTATACAGAAAACTATATGTGCTCGCATTTGCAAGTACAAAAGCTCAACCATACCCTCCCTACTTGACTCGTGTTCTGTGCGACAAAGAAGAAAGCATTAGGCGTGAAACTCATAACTTATTGAATAGTCAGTAGAACAATTGGATCTCGTCTTTCCGACTACTCATATCATTTATAGGTACAACGTTTTCTTTTCCTTTTCTCTTCCTTCTCTCTCTCTCTCTGTCTGTCTGTTTCTTGCTGTGTGCTGGTTTGTTTCTCTCTTCCTTACAAACTCTACTTAAAACATTCTTCTTCGTTCTTTCACACTCTCTGTATATCTCGACGTCTTTTGTTACCGCTTACTTAGGCCAGTAAATATGCTAGTAGTATCTACTTTTCTAACACCTTGAAACAACATTCTGTTCATTTTTGGCTTTGCTACCGACCGATATGCTAGCGATATGTTGTTGTTGTTGTTGTCATAACTCACTGAGATTACCCATTATCTATCTATGTAGAATTTTATTTATTGTTAATGTACAAACTGGATGGAATGTACTGTAGTAAAATTCTGAGAATTCCATTCTGTATCTCACAGGTACTGTTTTATAGTAAAGCGAATTTATACTATTATTATTGAGGTTCGCTTTCGTTGAAATCAGAAATTGTGTACGACTGGGGTCATGTGACACTGAATGATCACTTGTTAAGTTGACATTTTTAGGAAACTCACGTCTTTCAGTTTTACCGTGATAATAATAATAAAAATAATAGTGATTCTTCAAGTAAACTGTACCATTTTTGATGAACAGTTGTGCCGTATTGTAACAACAGAAGACAAGGGCCAGCCATGCAACAGATCGTTTTTTTTTTTTTTTTTTTTTTTTTTGATTTACAGCTTGATTCCACACTGTATTTTCGGTACAAGTATGGAATTTTCAGCATGGATATCGGTAGCCCAAATTTCGCAGGCCGACCATAGATATCAGATGTGCGTCGGCGTGGGCTCGAACCCCGGACCATGTGCATGGTCGGCGAGAGTCCTAACCACTGTGCCACCGACGCATCAAGAGATATCAATCAAGAGATATTTATCGATTTAGAAAACAGAAAGACTGAGCGAAGAAATACTTACTTTTCAATTAGATCCTCATCTCTGGCTCCACTCTAATATACACGTATAGCATTTTAATTACAATACAACAGTTTACCAATCAAGTGGCGATAAGTTTGTTAACAATAATTAAACAGTGTCAATGGGTTAATAATTAACGAAGAAAATCAATACAGACAATTAAAAGATAGAAATGGATAGAATAAATTAATTTTACAAGAATAACACGTAAATCAAAGATAAAGTGGTCAAAATAAATAAAATAAAATAAATAATTTAGACAAATATAATTTTTATTAAGTTTAGGGAGAGTCCTGTTTATGCATTCTTGTGACGATGGCCGCCACGGTAGGGAAAGTGGCTGTACAAATTTTTTTCTGTACACATAGGCTTGGCTTCTTCAGATGAATGCCAATCGCCTCAGCCATTTCCACCTTTTAATTGTCTGTATTGATTTTCTTCGTTAATTATTAACCCATTGACACTGTTTAATTATTGTTAACAAACATATCAGTGCCACTTGATTGGCAAACTGTCGTATTGAAATTAAAATGCTATACGTGTATATTAGAGTAGAGCCAAAGATGAGGATCTAATTGAAAAGTAAGTTTTTCTTCGCTCAATCTTTCTGTTTTCTAAATGTCTAAATGGGGATTTTTTCTTTATTTATCGATTTTCATGTACATTATTATAGATTATTGTTAGCCGACAAACGCAGTCTTCTGAATGGTTGTTTCTCGCTGAAAGTTAATCTTTCATCTCTTTGTGACTGACTGTTTATTGAAGGTCAGTTCATCTGCTATGTGCTTATTGTATCCGCCTACGCAAACAAAGTTTGCTATTGAGATTGGTTGTTGAGTCATTCTTTATTCTTATTTTTCTCATAATCAATAGCGGGGACGTAAACATTGACGTGAATTACTGTCTTTTAAAGTGCTTGGTCTCAGGTTGACATGTCTGTTGGCTTCTTGTGCAGAGGTTTCGAAGATGTCTGGGCATTTAATTAGAATTATTTGGTGGATATTGACTAGCAGTGGAATCCAGTCCAGGATAATGCGAATTTTTATCCGTCGTATTCGGGATTCGTCCGCCAGCTGGATGTACTTTGAATTTCCCAGTGAGTGAGTGAGTGAGTGAGGTAGTGATGATGTTCCCTACACCGAGGCTAGAACCAAGTGCCCATAGTTTCAAACACCAGCCAAAACTTTATCCATTAGACGAGTCCCAAGTAGGACGAAATTAGCGTCTTCCTGAATTGGATTCCAACGCTAGTCACCATCCACCAATTGAATTCACAATATTCAGAATGTTATATTCGGTGTATCGAACCAGGCGATATAAAGCTTTAGCCTGCGCTTCAACCAATGAAAGATTCAAGTGTGCATGTGACAACATCTATGGAAGAGACTGTAAGCACACTTAAGTGTCAAACAAATGCAGACATTACTCCTAGACATCACTGCTAGTAGTCAATCCAAATTACCCACCAACCTTTTTATTTATAACTAGATAAATTAGTAAAATAAAGACGGTATTAATACATTATGAATAAGATATATGTACAGTTTTTATGTAAACTCATTATTCATTACTAATATGCCTTTGCTCAAAACAGCTGGCATTTTGGTGTTGTGATTACATTTCCACACAAACAATTTTTTCATCCCGTTCCCTATATCTTATTTAAGAGATTTATTACTTCAATGTACTAACAATGTTAGGTTTACTTACATTTGAAGGCGATTGTTTCCGCCAAGTTGATGGTCTTGCTATGGGCAGTCCGTTAGGGCCCCTTTTAGCAGATATTTATATGTCGTACATTGAAAATTTATCAGAGGAATTAATCGAAAACGTTCTACTGTATAGAAAGTATGTCGGTGATTTTGGGATAAGTCTTGTTCTGACACCTCAATTTTAAATCGTATGAATGAAGTTCAAAATAGCAGGCATATCACCTACATCTGTCTGTAGAAGAGGAAGATAATTGTTTATCATTCCTAGACGACATATTGTTTATTCAACTGATTGCTTGATGGATCAATAAAACGATGACCTATTTATAGAAAACCTACCTACCTGGACAGGACAGTATCTTAATTATCACAGTTTCTGCCCTCTTCGGTACAAAAGAGTCTTAGTGAGTGAGATGCCTCTCCAAAAGAATCCAACGAATATGCATTGAAGACAGACACACTGGATGATGAGGAAGAAAGAAAGTTGACACAAACTCTAATTGATAACAGTTATTCAGACAAGTCCATAGGGAGACATGAAGTAGTCGGTGGAACACCAAGACCCACTTTACAACTCGCCTCTAAAAAAGACGTGTACATCAAGCTACACTATATGGGTGGGGCATCATAGCAGCTTGATAACTAGACAAAGATTTCACGCCGTTGTGATTTAAAAGACTTTTTATGCAGCTAAGATCATAATAGTAATTGAGAATGCGGAACCAATATATCCATCCAACTAGGCCCTTTGAACATGAGAAAAATGATGTTCAACAGAAAAATGATGTTCACAGACAACAGCGGACATCAATTCGACTGGGACAACCAACCAAAGTTCAAATATTAGCCAGACAGGGGAAACAACACCGAGAATGCGAGAGAATATTTAGAAGCCTACCTGGTAGGTATTCCAGTGAATCATCAATCAATAGACACATCGAGATAGACAAAATTTATCAACCGATAAGAAAGAAATTTCACACACAAAAGGTCAAAGTTCAAGTCAAAGAAGCAATCTGTTCCAGTATCGATACAAGTAACCTAGAAGGTGTGAAAACGCATGAAAACAACCAATCACGTCGAAGGTCACCGACCAGGAGAGATGATAAATAAACTCGTGGAGAAATCTAAAAGCTCACTTCAATTGAATTTGAAGTATGCGCTGAAGATGTCACCCAGTAGGGTGATGAAAGCTTCGCAAACTAACCATCCATCTCAGAAAATAAAACCACATCAGAAAAATGATGTCACATCCCATTGTATTTACCAATTTGAATGTACGTCTTGACATGCACACAAACACATACAATAGGGAGAACTCATCGATCTCTGCAAGTAAGGACTGGCTGGTACCAGAGCATATTCCTAAATGGCTCCAGAAAGAAATAGAATCCTCAGAACGTATTAATAGTGAGAACAGGAGACCTAGCTCCCCTATTCCGAAACATATTATAAAGACAGTACATAACATTGACGTTAACACATCTTTTAGACCTATCCATAAAACGTGTTTGTGGGAGGGCGTATCCTCAAGTTTGTGGAAGCTAGCCCTAGCTGGCAGTTCGGAAGTTAAAATCACCTTTATGCGTTCAAAACAGCTATTCGTTATCACATTAAACCTACCTTCTTTGTTGGTAAACCTTGTTTTGATCGCCACCAGCCAGTCAGGGTAGATGTACTATTACCCCCGTGTTATTTGGTTTAGTCACTCATCTTCATTGCTATTTTGACCTTCAGTATGTCCTCCTTTTAACTTGACCTAAGTAGTCAAGTCTATTCTCTCACCCACCTCTTAACTCACTCTTTATTAATTTCCTATATATATGTACTCCTATGACAAGTGTGTGTGTGTACGTATGGGATGGATCAGATTGTTCGAAATGTGCTATGGGCGCAAATACAACATTACACACACACACACACAATTCAGACACACAAATCACGTCTTCCTTCTTATTGCTTTATCTAAATTCATGAAAAAGGGAACTCAAATTGTTTCAACGTTTCAACCAAAGAACAAAAACTTTTTTTTTTAGTATATGCAGATTATTTTCATCAAATAATTGTTTAAAGAAAGGGTGTAATACACATTAGAAAAAAAAACATTTTAAAAAATTCTAGAAAAAAAAAATATTTTTGATTAATTTTTATAAGAGTATGAAAAAGAACTTCTTTTCAGGCGATACCCCACATGAATTTTACCCAATGAAGAAGAAGCCCACTGGTGGTACTGACATATGAAAAAAGAGAAACAATTGCACAGCCTTAATGAATTTAATTAATTAATTAATCAATACCAATGAAGATGTTCAATACTAAATATACTACTTAAATAAAATGACCTAAAAACAAAAGTAGTAGTATTAGTAGTACGTTAAGTTAAATTGCAATTTACAACTTTGTCAAGGTGTCGAACAAGGGTATTCTTCGTCTTCCCTGGTTCAGATACTCAAAACGCATCTCGTGGAGGCATAAATATACGTAAATTCACACTGACGACATGAAGAATCAACGGAAGGAAGGCGGCGAAGGCATAGGACGAGGACGAGGAGGAGGCGGAGGATGACGAAAGTATGGAAGGCGTAAGGCGATTGTGAAATGAAATTATGAAATCACCATCATCATCATCATGAAAAACAAAATAACAGAATGCAGCAAGAAAAAAAACACAAAGAAAAAAGTGAAGGTGAATGTGAAGGAAAATACAAAAAAACAAATCACATCATCATCAGATTGTAGAAATAATAATAATAAAAAAGAAAGGTATCTATGAATAGTCCCTTGCGTGTCTTAAAGCGTGATCATCATGAACCTGCCGATTTCGATGGTTCACAATAAGTGTTGAACTGTCTGTCTCTCATTGAGAAACACGCTTTCATTCGTGGAAATGAAATAGTGTACAAATTATAAAAAAAATAATAGGATTATTAATAACAGAAGGCAAACATGGAAATCAGGCAGGCGTAGACATCAACCGGTAACAGGTGTGCTTCATTTTGTGATAGAATCAAAAACACTTGCAAAGTGAATGAAGTATCTCGATTGATCGATCCACACGGGCTGTGTACCAATCATTCAAATCATCATCATCATCATTATCTCTTTGTGTGTGTGTGTGTATGTGCTTGTGAGTGTGTGTTTGTCTGTTGACTACTGCTCACACAGGCATTTTGCTGAATGAAATTACACACTAGTATGCGGTGAAATTGACACACTGTGTCTTTTGGGTGGAAAGTAAAAATTAAAAAAAAGCAGAAGAAGGTGAGGTAATCGCAAAAATCATAAAAGGGTGTCGGCATTTCACACTGGAATCATGCAGATTAATTAGTGAATGAATTTTTGTATTTGTTGTTTATTTGACATTTTAATTATGAGACTAAGTTCGATTAATTTAGTGGTAATTTCTTCATATCTATTAATTCCAGGAGTTATGATTTAGAGTGGTGATTCATTTGACTAGATGGAATTGAATGGGATTGAATGGGACACTGAATAAACTGTTGGCGATGAGGAGGATGAGCTGAAGGATGTTCGTTAGACGAATACTGGTGTGTATGCGCTGAAGGCGGGTGTTTTTGATGCTGTGAAGTAGAATGACAACCATTGGAAGATGTAGTATTATTCGATGGTGAATTGTTAGAAAGTGATGAATTATGATGACAGCTATTCAAAGAGTAAAGTTGAGAGTATCGACAGAGAATCGGACTTTCATTGATACTGTTATTCGCATTTGTAGATGAAATCGATAATCCTTGAGTATGCTGTTGTTTTTGACAACTAAGATGTTGACAATACGGTGAAGTGGATGGCTGTGAAACAGGTGTTTGTCGTGAACTTATACCACCATGTGAACTTGTTCGTATTGGTGGTCTAGGCGGTGGGGATTTAGCGCCTTTACCATTGATCCCGGTATCATGATCATTAGAGTGATGTGGTTTCGATTCATCTGAATAATAATTGTTGGAGCATTGTGATGAATTGTGAGCATTTTGATTCGTCAAGGTGTTCTTCAACTGATATGATGTTGACTTGGAAAGAGGATATTTTTCACACTCTGTTAATTTATTCGATTCATAAGTGCTTATCCAATCATTTGGAAGTGTTTCAGACTTTCGCAATCGACCGGATAAATTCTGTGGGACAGTAGATGTTCGATAGGGTAATAAATGTGTCCAATATGGGATTTGTGGATTTGATGCATTCTGTGTAGTTTTACCAACGTTATCACTATTATTATTATTATTGCTTGTAGGCACAGTGGATATACTAGTAGGATTCATGTTTATCGAATTAGCATTTTCATAAGAATTTTGGCGATCTCTTATTCGACTACAACGATTATGTCCATATCCATTATTACTGTCAGGATGACGTAGCATTTCAGGAATCGGATATATTGATGCATTTACGTAGACTGAACGTTTTTGTACACCTGAGCGACTTCTAACAGAAGTTATTTGTTCTGTATTATTATTATCACCTAACCATGGACGTCTGATTGGCGTTGGCGGTGTATGTGAACAGCAGTAATTTCCTGAAGGAGGTAAACACATTGGTGGAATATGACCGGTTACAGAGCTGGTGAGGCAGGCTACCATATCCGACGACTTGACATGCTTCATATGTTCAATATTTTTCGGACAATTTTTCGTAGTAGAAGTACTATTCGGATAATGAGAAGCATATAAAGCAGGCATTTAAAAAAAATACAAAATGGGAAATAAATGTATGAATTAATTAATTAAGCGATTTTTCCAATGCTGGATATTCCACAACTGAAGAAATAATGCCAAAGAAATCAACGGAATATGCCTTACTGTACCAGCCTGCATACATCTGTGATACTTAAAGAAATTTTTTAACCAATCATAAATCAGAGAATTAGGATGCCTGTGATTGGTTGGTTACATCTGCTATCTGAGCTAATGAGGAACTTTTTAATTTAGTCATTGAGTGAGGACTACAATTATCACCAAAAAATGGCTATTGAATAATTAATAAATAAACAAATAAAACGCAAATTCAGCGAAGAAAATTTCCTTTATTCAAGTGTTGGTTTGTAGGGATTTGGTTGATTGGTTACAGGATTTCATCATGAGGTGACATAAGTTAGAGAACCATTGGAAAACCTGCCATTAGGAGAACTGGACAGCTGCTTCGTCCTAGTTTAAGACTCTTCAACGGTACGCACGCACCACAGAGGGTTCGAACGCAGGACCACGCTCTGGTTACAAGGCGAACTAGCTCGTATACCATTAGGCCACTGGGACCCGATCCAATGACCAGCCCATGAATTCTAACTCCTGCCAACTCACGATATAGCGCGACCCCTAGCCAGTGTCTTCGGAAGCGAGTATTTGTCCTCACACCCGACCTACTGCACTCTACTGGTCACGACTTCTTTATCGACGAAATCATCTTCACAGATTGGCTATACAGTCGTACTTATACTTACCAAATAATATATAGTGGTCTATTATTGAGTAATAGGGGTGACATAATTGATATAATTACTCGGAAGTGGCTTTAGAAGTGAAAATGTAATAAAAGTTGTAAATTACATGGTACTCAACGGAACAAACATACAAATTTGATAAGGTTAAAATTGCTCTTGAGTGAGAGAGAATGAAGGTGGTAGTTGAGTGTTAATTTAACAAGTGTGAACAAGGTGTGAAAATATACAAAAGGAGCATATGAGATTGATAATAATGAATTAATTATTAACGCAAAAGCGAACTGAACATAAAATCAGAAATTAATAAAGAAAAGAAAAAAATCAATAGTTTGTTTTACAGGTAACGACTAGTGAAGGGGTTAAGACCAAGGTTGAGTAGGAGACTTGACAAACCTTTTCTGTATAGAGAGTTCGGGCGCTGGTGATTCGTCAATACAACCCCGAACTCTGTATCAAGAGAAAAAGTTTGTCCAGTCTCTTATTCTACCTTGGTCTTAACCCCTTCACCAGTCGTTACCTGTTAGAAAAAGATTTTTGATTTTTTCTTTTGTTTTTAATTTTTAATTTTACTCTTAGTTTGCTTTTGCCTTATTAAATAATTCATTATTATCAATCTCATATGCTCCTTTTGTATATTTTCACACCCTCTTCACACTTGTTAGATGGACACTCAACTACCTTTATTCTCACTCAAGAGTAATTTTAACGCTATCAAACTTCTGTCTTTGCTCCGTTGAGTACCATATAATTTACAACTTTTAATTTTCACTTCTAAAGCCACTTGATACGTTTCTTAAGTTTTCTGTCAAACTTACCATAGCGAATACGAGAATCAGTTTTCTGAAGAGCTGTAGTGATAAGAAGGAATATCCCAAGCACTTCTGGAAATGTCTTCGTCGCAATCATATTCACCCAAACCATTGCTGTTTGAAACGTCATACACTGAACATCATCGACGAAATAAAATCTCGACTACCGGAGATAGAAAGAAATATTTCACTAAGAACACATGCTCTATACGAGATGACAGAAGACGAGGAGAGACTTTTCATGGACTACATCGAGTCAGTTTCAAGAAGACACTGTGAAGATGTAAACCTGAAACTCGCGAATAGCCTCAAAGCCGCTGACACTTATTCACGTTTTCCTGCCGCACCAGAAAAATACGTTTTCAACTACTCGAGTACATCATTGACTCCTGTCCAATTGCAAACCTTGTCGTTGGGTTGAAAATTCTGTGTGATATTTCGACAAATTCGAGTGACTTCGATATCAAAGTTCAGTTTGAAGCACTGATCCAACAGACAAATGACCTTTCTGCAGCATCCAACAAATCATATGAACAATTCAAGTCTACAGTATTAAATAGCTGCCATCAGTACATCAACACGAAGTCAAACGTCAGAAGATTGATTTCAGCAGAGCACAGAAAGCAACTACGTGAGATTCTAAAGAACAAGGACTTGGTTGTGACACGCCCCAACAAAGGTTCTGGTATTGTCCTGATGGAACGCCAAGACTACATCGATAAAATGTTATCAGTCTTGTCAGATGAAAACAAATTTTCAAAAGAAAGTAGCCAGAAACACCGAACGGAACAAACTGAAAGCAAGCTAACACAAATGCTGAATAATATGAAGAACGAATCGATTATTAGCTTTGAATTATTCGAGCAAATACTACCCTCCGGTTCCGTGATTCCCCGTTTATATGGTCTGCCGAAAGTGCACAAAGACAACGTGCCACTACTTCCAATCTTGGATATGACAAATTTTCGAAAGAGAAGGGAGGTTTTATTTTTATCCTTGGGCAAATAAACGTCGGAACACTGAGTAAAATCTATTTTTGAATTAGGGGTTCCATTCACAAATACTCTGTGGCTTCGTGAACTGACTGTCAAAAGAAAAAAAAGCAACCGAGAAGGCAGTCTGTTTATGGATATTGTAATTGTTGGCATAATTTTGTTTTGTTTCTTTTAGTAAAAGGGTATCTTTGATTACCTAAGAAAATATTTGTCTCCCACTGAAGGAGGCTAAGAGAAGTAATTGACACAGCAATGAAATCTTAGCGTATTTGTTTTAATTAAGCCGTCAGAAAATCACGCCTTTTTCAACAGAAAAATATTAGTCTTCCTAATGATAAGATATAGTCTAATTGTTTAATAGAGAGTGGAAACAAATGTAATTATATGCCTTCTTTTAAACCGCAATATTCTTATCTTGATAAGAAAGTCTACAAGTTATAACCGATAGCAGGACAGAATCTTGCCGATGCATACATGTTTACAAGTGAAATTTAGGTATATAGTCAAATTAGTTTTAATTGAACCGCCTTCATTTCAAGTATATTCAGTAAATCGGTTGTTCTCATATTAATAATGATAATAATGTCTGTAGTAATAATAATAATTAGAATATTCTCATACACTAATGAATAAGGTTAAGAGATCTACAGCAGAACTAATACGCAGAACGAAGCCGTCACTGGGTGAGTCAGAATGGTTTAATTCAATGTCTAAAACTAATAATCCCAGTAGAATGTATGGTACTATTAAAATACATAAGTCAGGTTACCCCATAAGGCCAATAGTAGATTTATTTCAGAAATACTCCTACTTATGAATTATCAAAACGCACTTAGCTCTAATATTATGCCCCATTAGAAATGGCTAAAACTCTAGACTAACTAACTAATTCATTTAAGACAAAAAATAAACTAAATGACATTCTACTATAGAAGAATGAAACAATGATTAGTTTTGATATAACTAGTCCGTTGACTGTTAAGGCAGGCTTAGTTAAGTGTCTAACAAACCGAGCAGTAGCACCAAGTAGCACAAGAAAAGACCCAGATGATGAAATAAAACAGACAGAAGAAAGCATTAGTATCAAATAACTATCCTATGAGATTCATTAGGAAGATCGAAAAAGTGAAAAGCAAAATCGAAAAATAATTGTGAAACTATATATATCCAAACCAAGTTCACTTTTAACGGTCTGAAAAAATTTGGGCATTGGGTATATGATATTCATTATAATAGAGGTTTTTTGTATTTCCCAATGAATGAAAAAACAAAACGAGATTGTTATAATTGTGAAACTAGTAATAATTACATAAAAAAGACAATATAAGTAACCTATTGTTATACCATTTAAAGAAGGGATATCTGAGACACTTCCTACGTAGGATTGTTAATAACAAAGCAGGATTTAAGGTGGTGGCATCCAAACCTGCAAACTCACTCAGGTAGGACAAGCTCTGTAGGTTAAAGGACCCTGTCGGTTAACCCAATTAGACAAAATAATATAATTTACAAAATACCCCGAAAGACTGTAAGTTAGGTCAACCACCTACATAGGTGAAAGAGACTAGTAGATCGGGGGTAATCAGATTATCGGAACATCAGAATTTAGCTAAAGTTAGAATCACTAACCCCACGAAGATAAGTAATTCAGAAAATAGCTCACCACTACATTGCTTTGTATACATGCATTGACATACAACCACACAATACCATGGTGGGAGAGGGTTAAGATTCTAAGAAGTAATCTGTGTAGGTGAAGATAGAGAGAGACTGATTACTGAATCCTGACTGGTTCATCGAGTTTGCACACCCAACACAACATATGCAACAGAAATGACTCAATGCAAATACCACAGATATGCATGGAAGATATTATTACCACCAGTCAGTCAGTCAATCAGTCAGTCAGTCAGTGAAATCACGGGAGGATAATAAATAATCTTAAATTGTATTCTATTTCAATTCAATTCACGTACATCATCACAACATTCTAACAAGTTACTCACTTATTATGACTATAAAACAAAAACACTCGTCTCATTTCCCATCTGATTGTTGTAATTGATCACTCATAACACTCATATTATTATGATTATTATTTCTGAGTGTACATTATCCCATATTGGTTGATTTGTATTCCAATATGTAGTCATCAATTCCACTCATGTGTATATAAATGAAGGAAACAAGAAAGTTGTGTGAGTGATTGAGTGACTTGATGTGATGATTATGAGTGGGAATAATAATAAATTGTGCTCGAAATGGTGTGTGTGGTTGGATCAGTTAATATTACTGTATAAGAAACACTACACTGCACTGCACTGTGTGACAGTTTATCAAAATAAAATCTTATCCATAATGGAGTTCTCATAACTAATACACTCATTCCTGTCTACATTTTTAATTTCTTTTTAAGGATATTACTGTATTTAATACCTGTGAATGATGAATGTAATTTAATGATTCTCATTGTAGCATTAAGAACACAATAATCAGCGAAGAGACTCTTTTCAACAATGAATTTATTATCAAGCTGTACAATCGTACATATATA